TTTGTTGAAGAGTCTTCTTCTGATCCCGATGTCACACCCTTCTCCATTGAGCCTAGCTTCTCAAATGACTTTCTCAGCATACAGACTGAACAGGTATGGAGAGGAAATACAACCCTGATGCAGGTCTTCCTGATTTTAAACCATGTAGTTTAAAATTCTCTTGTTCTGTTTTGACAATAGCCTCTTGGCTAGGTATAGGTTTTGATGAGCACAATTAAGTGTTCTGAGATTTCCATTCCTCTCAATGTCAGCTGTAATTTGTTATCAAAGGCTAACTGTAATGAAGGAAGAAATTCAAACTATACTGAAGGCACTGGCAAAACATAAGGCCCAAGGAATCAATGAGATACCAATTGACAAGTTTCAAATAACAGATGCAACCCTAGACATGCTCACTAGTGGGTTCCAGGAAATTTTGAAAACAGCTATCTGTATTTATTTCCATCCCCAAGAAAAGGTGATCTTACAGAATGCAGAAATTCTCAAACAATTTCATTAATATCATAGGAATGCAATACATTGCTGAAGATCCTCTAAAAACACGTAGAACAATAGCCTGACAGAGAACGCCAGTAGCTCCGGCTGAGTTTAGAAGAGGCTCTGGCATCAGGGATACCAGTGCTAATGGCAGATGGATCTTGGCTAAATAAGCAGAGAGTGTCAGAACAATCTCTACATAAGCTTATAAGCTCTACTGACTGTGCAAAGGCATTTAATGGTGTAGATCTAATATGTTAAGTGCCACATAATTTTAACCATCTTAGAAAATCCACTTTCCTCAGAAGCTAACATTTTTCGTAATGTACACTAAACAACAAACACAACACAGAGGTTTAGTGATTCCAACCATATCACCACCAAAGATTGAACCCTTGATTAACAACTCACACAATAATCTCAAAAACTCAAAACTCACTGCTGTCAAGTCTGAACCAACTCATAGCTGATGAGAGACCAGCAGGTTTCTGAAACAGTAAACTGCAGGGGAGGAGACTGGCCATCTTTCTCCTCAGAGGTGCTGCTGGTGGATTCGAACCAGCTGAAGGGCACGGCCTTTGGGTTAGCAACACACAGGAGGAAGAGCCAGAAAATAAACACTACGAGCACTACACCTAAGTGAGACGAAAACTGCGGGTGAGCCAAGGGCAAAACTTAGTTTTCTCCATCACTCTCTTAAACAGGTTTCCAAGCACAATAAAGCTTTTTAGGAGCATTTACTATCTATTTGTATGCATCAATATGCAGTCACATATACATACATATGTGTACCTTTAAATATATATGAAATAAGTCAAGGCTTTGATCCATGTACTCTATTCTTTTAAAAGCCACTTCATCTAATGTCAGACTATCATAAAACAATCACAGTAATACATTTGGGCAGAAAAGACTGGAGTCTAATACAATGACCCAGATGACTCAGTAACTGTCACTTTCATAGGTAGACTTTGATGTCAATGATTCCTTTTTAAAAATGCAAGCAGGGTCAAAAGGACTCAAAGTATTTCTGCCCTGTCTTTATGTCACCCAATCAAGTTCCTCTTTTGTAGCTGCAGTGGAAAATAATGCATTATATATCACTCATCTAAGAATACAAGATTTTAAAAACAGCAACCTAACAGTTTCACAAGAGCATTATCAATCATTCATGGCATCCTGCCTGCCACTCAGGAAAAGATTCTCTCATAAACACAAGCTAAAATGACATGATCTGGTCAGTGAAATGACAATTCCAATACCCAGTAATAGAGATTCAGAACACTCTACTTTCTTTCTACAGCTAATTACTTCACAGAAGATAGCACAATGAGAAAGTTAATACACAAAGTCTAAAAACAATTTGGGATACATTAACCCCCGTTCAAATAGAAAAGAAGAGTATTGGATTTTTGTTGTCTCAAAATTTTCTCATCTATTTAGCAAAGTGATCCTTGGAGGAATGTTGTATTCTAACTTTAAAAACCTGTTGTTAAGTACCTTCACGCTGAATGAGTCATAGCAACCCTATGAACCACAGATCTGAATGCTGTCCTATCCTGACCATCACTGACACACTTGAGACCTCTATTAGTGTCTCTTTGCAAATTCATTTTGTTGAGGGTCTTCCGCTCCTTCACTGACCCTCCACCTTTCCAAACATGACAATCTTTTCCAAGTCCTTGCCTCTCCTAACACATGTTCAAGGTAAGTAAGATGAAGCTGCACTTTCCTCACCAAGGAGCACTCAGGCTACACTTTTCCAAGATACTGTTTGTCCTTTGACAGTGAGTGAGTGAGTGGGATATTCAGCACTATTCTTCAACAGCACAACTCAAAAGCACCAATTCTTCCATTATCCTTATTCACTGTCCAACGTTGAGCTGCACAGTAAGTCACTGAGAAGATTATGGTTTCAATCAGGTACTCCTTAATCTCCAAACTGACATCATTGTTTTCACTTGGAAGAGTTTCCTGACAGACTTTTAGAATGCAATTTGCCTTTTGATTTCCTGGTTGCTAGTGCAAAGGGCATTGACTATGGATCCCAAGAGACGAAATAATTGACAATTTCTATCATGAGGTTCCCTATCAGCCTGGTGGTGAGGATTATTGTTTTCTTGATGTTGAGCAGTAACCTATATTGAAGGCTGGAGTCTTTGATCCTCTGCGGCAAGCATTTCAAGTCCTCCTCACTTTCCACGAGCAAGGCTGTGACATATGCATACACAGGTCATTATTCTGATGCTATATTCTTCTTCAGAGAGTCCAGCTTCTTCAATTATTTGTTCACCACACAAAATGAATAGGTAAGAAGAAAGGTAACAACTCTGATACACACCTTTCCTGATTTGAAACTATGCAGGGTTTCCTTGCTTTGCTCAGACAATAGCTTCCTGGTCTAAGTATAGGTTTCACATGAGTCCACGTAAGTATTCCGGGAGTCTCTTCTCAACACCAGCTACAATTTGTTATGATCCACACAATCAATAGCCTTTATATAGTCAATAAAACAAAAAGAGATATGTAATTTTGATATATTCTGCTTTCAGCCAAGAGCCCTCTGACATCAGCAGTGGCGTCTTCTAAATTCTGTCTGAATTTCTGGCAGTCCTCTGTTGATGTAGTGTTATATTTTATAATAATCTTCAGCAAGATTTTGGGTGCATGTGATATTAATTATAACATTCTGTAATTTCCATCTTCTGTTGTATCATCTTTTTCGAAATGGGAACAAATAAAGATCTCTTCCAATTGATTAGCCAGGCAGCTGTCCTCCAAATTTCCTGGCATAGCTTAGTGAGTACATTGAGGGCTGTATATGTTTGTTGAAATATGTCAACTGGAAACCTGTCAATTCCTGGGGCCTTAATTTATGCGAATGCCTTCAATGCAGCTTGAATTTCTTCTTTGACATCACTGGTCCTTGATGGTTCATACGCTATTTCCTGAAGGGGTTCTGTGTCTGCTAGTTCTTTTTGCTACAGTGACTCAGTGTATTTCTACTATTCTTTTGATGCTTCCTGGAGCACTGAGTATTTTGCCCACAGATCCTTCAGGGTTGCAGTTTGAGACTTGAATTTGTTTTTCAATTCTTTCAGCTTGAGACATTCTGAATGAGCACTTCCTTTATTATCTCCAACTCCAGCTCTTTGTACACTCTGTTATAATACTCCACTTTGTTTTCCAAAGTTGCCCTTTTAAATCTTCCTTTCATCGCCTTTACTTCTACATCTCTTCCCTTGGATTTGGCTTCCTGATGTTCTTGACTGATTTGGAGAGTCTTTCCTGACATGCATTTTGGTCTTTTCCTTCTCCTTTGTCTGTGGAACTTTTTGCTTTCTTCATGAGTGATCAGACATGCTATGTTGTGTGTACCACTGAGTTAGCTGACCCTCCAGCAAGTTTTCAGAGGCAGTAAATCACTCAGGAGAAGAATGCTTATCATTCTCCTATGGAGCAGCTGGTGGATAGATTCAAACCACGTGCCTTTAAGGTGGCAGTGCAACGTCTCACCACTAAGCCATTAGAATTCCCTCAAACATGTTATATGTCTCTCTCAGACAGAAAAACTACCATCACTGTAGAAAGCAGGTAGCATGTTGTGTTGCTTTTTGTCACCCAGGTGGAACCAACACCTAGATGACCCTCCAGTAAACTTTCAGGGGTTATACATTACACAGCAGGAGACTGCCCCTTCTTCCTCTTCCCCCTGGACCAGGGGAACTGCATGCCTCCACTTTGGCATAACAACTCCTTATCACCAGAGCTCCCTACAGCAGGTAGCACAGACTGGTGAAAAAATTGGGGTACCAATCACAAGAAATAGGTTCTTCTACTCCCAATTCTGACTCTAACTACATCTATGAGTTTATTCAAGATCACTCACCCTCTCTGGACCTTACTCTCTCACTGTAAAATAAAGGAGATGTATTGAATAATCTCTAGAGCAACTGTCATTTCTCAAAATGACTCTACAACCTATAGTTGATGCTATGTGCCACTGAGTCAGTTCTGCTTGATAGCAACCTGCAAGACAAGAGAGATGGCCTGGAGGGTTTCCTAAGCGGTGGTCATTATGGGAGCAGACTGCCTGATCTTTTGCCTCAGAACAAGAAGGGGGTAAGAATCACCAACCTTTCATTGCAGCCCAACGCTATAGAGCTTTAAAAGCATCTAAACAATAGCTCCTTTCAGACGTTAAGCGGCCAAGCTGCTCCTTGGAGGAAAGGACTTTGAAGCTGTCTCACATACTTTGGGCACATGGTGAGGAGGGACCAGTCCTTGGAGAACATCAAGGGTGGAGGGGCAGCACAGAAGAGGAAGATTCCAGATGTGATGGATTGATAAAATAACTGGGGTGATGGGAGCAATGGGTATGTCAGAGACAATAGGACTGGCCAGGGACAGGGCAGGGTTCAGAGGTATTGTACATAGGGTCACTATGAGTCACAGGTGTCTTGACGACACATAACAATTCATTAATTGGTTCTTCAGTCACAAGAGTCAATGGTACTTCTTACCTGGAAGCTTGCTGTCATGTAGCAGATTTCGAAGCTTACTACAAAGTTGGATCATGCTGTCCAACTGTCTGTTTATCTTCACATCTTGTATCCAGGCAGGGGTATAACACACCGGACATTCGGTTCCAATACAGTCACCTACACAACCACTTTAAAGAGATTTGGAGAGGGAAAAAAAGTCAAAGAAGTAGTCATATTTGAGTTCCAAAAAAGAAATAATAATTATCAGCTTGATCAGAAGTAAATGAAGCAAAGCTTTTCCTTTGAAAAATAATCAACTGCAAAATCCTTGCTAAAAATAATATTTTTGAAAGGATATAATTTCCTTTCTCTCTTACACACACACACACACACACACACCCCTTTCTCTCTCTCCTATACTTTCAATCTAAAGTTACTTATTTACTAAGAGACCAAGAAACTTCATTTAGTCAGAAACTAGACTGCATATTCTTTTCCTGCATGTTGCCATCGAGTCGAGCACGACTCACAGCAACCCTACAAACAAAAGACCTGAAGCCTTTCTAGAACTATCGTCATTTCTCCAAGATCATAGAGTTTCCACAGGTATGTTGTTTGGGAAGTGGCTGCCACTCCTGCTCCAATTTTATACCCATTACAACATGAAAAATCTTCAGTAGAGTTTTCAAAAACCACCTAAATGTGTTTCACATAGCATTTCCTACTTATTTAGATATGGAACATTTCTTCAGGCATACTTAATAATACTTTCCTAACAGGGAGTTAGAATCGGGGCGCAATCAAGAGTTTGGGTTTTAGGGCAAAGATTCCTGAGTTTCAAGCTTAGCTAAGAAACTCATATAAAGGCAGTAACCTTTTCTGGGGTTCCACCAAGTACACAAGAGAGCGAGTGTTACAGACCATGAAATAAGAGATCTGATTCTGGTTCCAAGCCCATTCATTAGTTGCTTCACTTTTGTCAAGTCAACTTCTCTCTTGTGGCTTCATTCCCCTCTTTAGACAAAGCAAAGAGTTGGCATTGTGAGGGTCACTTAGTGATTTCAGTTAGGGTTTTTATGCAAATAAACTGCTAATGGGTGTGTATCAACTTGGTCAGGACTCTCTGAATGGACATTTTATAATGATGTACTGTGGAAGCTGTATAATGAATGGTAAAAATTTTCTCCCATTATGTGACCTAATATGATCAATCCTGATCCAATTTAAGAGAATCGTGGTCTAAAACAGCCTTAATCCAGTCACAGTTCTAATCCCATATAGGGGAAGTTTCTCCTGGGGAGTAATCTCCATGGGGAGATACACACACACACACACACACACACATTTTCTACGCATACACACAGTTGCCCATGAGTCCAAATCCACCAGCTGTTCTAAGGAAAAAACAGACAATCTTGTATTACACAATTTACATCCTCTGAAAACCAACCGGTGGGTCAACTATGAGTCAGTTCCAACTCAACGGCACAGAGCAACAAGAACAAATAAATACATACAAGACTCTGGCAAAGCAAATAATCTTGGACTTGACCTGGAGGCCTGAGACACTGCTCTCTGATCTTGGATTTGTCAGTCTCCAAAGCCAGCAGTCTCTTCCCTTACTTGCCAATCTTGGTTCACTAGTCCTTGCAGCTACACTGAGTCAGGAAAAGAATCTATCCTGAAATCGGACCTGGAAGCATCTACAAGCACAGGTGCCGTTTCCTTGATAAAAATCTATGTTTACTTCTCTTTTACTTTTCAAAGAGAAGATTGTACTGGGAGCGGGGGAAGGCGTGGGCAGGGAGAAAAGTGCAACAATGAATGAATGGAAATCCAAAGTCTCTGCAAATTTTCACTAAAATTAATTAAAAAAATGATAAAGAAATTCTATGTTTACATATACATATAAGCTTTCCTGTGTCACTTCTCAAAAGAACTCAGCCTAAAACATAAACCTACAGTTTTAAAGGACGAGAACACCATTTTTGTTAGGTGCTATCAAGCTGTTTCCAACCTGTATGTATAAGAGAACAAAACAATGCACAGTCTCAACATTTCTGCTGGGCTTTAAGTCCACTGTTGTAGCCACTATGTCAACCATTTCACTGAGGGGCTTCCACTCACCCTGAGACTTAATAACTAACGTACAGCAGCTGTGTACCTCAACTATTTCTTTGCTAAACACCACTATTTCATGATGATTCCTTAAATTATTGCAGAGAACTGGGAAGGTAGCTTTTTGCTTGTCGTTCTGACAAGTGTCTAAAAATATTTAAAGTACTTTTTGAGAAAGGATCTTTGAGTCTTCAGACAATTGTATAAGCTGCAGTTTAATCCATTTGTCCTAAAACTCTTCTTAATCAAGAATTCTAGGGAAATACGGCATCTCTCAATTGGACTAAAAAACTAGAGTGAGTTCTTCCAAATGAACAATGCATGGAATCACATAATCACTCTAGGAAAAGAGATCCATTTAACGTACAAGATAAACCAATAGAATTTAATGTAACTTTGATAAGGTTTAAGTTTCCAAACGATAAGTAGATAAGTAACCTTACATTGTTTACCACTTGTCAACTTTTGATGCAGAACCAATGACTATTTAGAATTATCTGAAAAGACCAGTAAAATATTCTTTCAATTATAGCTATGTATGAAGCCAGGTTTTTTTAATATACTTCAATCAAAGGGACATATGACAACAAATTGAATTCATCAACTCACAGTATCATTGGCTCCTATCCAGCAAGAGAATTTTTAAAATGTAGTAAGACAATGCCATATTTCTCAGTAACAATTACTTAAGTTTATAATTTTACCTAAAAATCATTATGTTGATATATAATTGGTTTAGTATTATTTTTCTCAATTTTTCCAACTTTTTTTATCCATTTCTACATGTTTTATCCACAAATGGTCAGTGTGGTGCCCATTTTTTAAAGAGTGTAATGAAGTCTTTTATCACAAAGTTTAGGAACATATGTTCAATGAATTTCTCTTAAAGCAAATACATGGACTACTTTCATCAGAGAATGGCATGACAATACCCTGAAATTATAATCCTGACACTGTTAAAATCTGGATTTCCGTAGTTCAATAGGGCTGAGCTATGTCAAAATTATCTTTAAAACTGTATGCTATTTGTAGCATTGTTCACTTATTTTAGGTTACTGTGAATCTATCTGCAAAGAATATAAACCTATTTTTAGCATCATGTGGGGAAAAAATGAGAAAAGCTGCATCAAATCAATTCTTTACAGCCATGCCGTATACAGATGGCCATTTTCTCTTTAAAGATGCTCTCCTGACTAAGTCACAGATCTCTTTACCATCTTTTAAAGATAAGTAGGGGACACACACACACACACACACACACACTCTCACACTCTCTCTCTCTCCATACAATTTCAGAGAACTCTTTACAATGAGCTATTGTATACAGTAAAACAAACCCATTGTGTATCAGCTGCAATGGAATGGCTGCTCAGAGGTAAACACTAGGGAGGTGGGCATCATTTCATAAGGTCATAGCAGGTCTTCTCAAGGAGGTGACAAGTAGGCAGACATGTGTCAGCTTCACAGAAATCTGGCAGTATTAAGTTCCAGGAAGAAGAAATAGAGAGTTCAGAAGTCCTGAAGTAGGAGTGTGAGCCTGGTGTGTTTAATAAACAAAAAGGAGTGTCTGGTAGGAACAGTACAAGTCAGAGTAAGGCTTGAGAGGCAGGCAGGCAGGCGGTCACACCACATGCTGGGGGCAGGAAGGTCACTTGTGGGGGTGGGAAGATCACACATGGGGGGTGGGAAGTATGGGGACCTTGTGGAATTTGGCAGTTAGGAATTCTAATTGCAGTAAGAAGTCACTGAAGGTTTTAAGCAGGGGAATAATATGGCTATGAGTTACAATTCTTTAAAAAAATCACCCACGACAATGTAAAAAATGGAAAGGGATGAGGATATTAAAGACAGCCAGGAGACCAGTTCAGATTAAGAGTTGAGAGATACATGATGGGGATTAGACCGAAGTGTAAGCAGTCGTAAACACAGAGGGAAGCAGGAAATGATATCAAGATACAGGACACATTTTGAAGTAGAACTGACAAAATTTGATGAGAGACGAGGAAAAACAGAGCAATTAGATATGACTTGGGTTTTATGTTTTTGTTATTTTGCTTTGAGCCACAATGCAGTCAGCGGTACCATTTTTACAATGAAGATTAAGGAGGCCAGAATATACTATATTGAAGAGGCAGATCTCGAGTCCGCTTTGAACATGTAAAATCCGAGATGCCTTTTGGCCGTCTGAATGGAGAAATCAGGTAAGCAAAAGATACAATTTTTTTACCTTATCCTTCTGCTGGAGATAGCTCATGTAAAAAAGACCCCTGTGTTTCTAAAAACAAGATTGGATCCCGAGGCAAAGCTGCTTTCCATACATTCCCCAGCCCATTTGAAGTCACATGCTAAATAATATTTATGTTTAAACTTTACAATGTAATCATGTCAGAGTGTCCTATCTTGAAATAATCTGGAAATCCATTCCAAGGAGGTTGTATTACCCCTTTCAGAATTAAACTAAGTCATTCAGTCCTTTGATTGATCTCTCCTGAACAAGAAGTAGGATGAAATAAAAACCTAATCTTCTAAACGATAAGCCAGGGCTCTCATGTGAGAACATGAATATAATTTCAACATGGCTAACAACTAGACTTTCATACATAATTTTTAAAAGATTAGACTCAAAACTAACTGGAAGGGAAAAAAAGTATTTTAAATTATATATAAGACACTATTTTCTCCCTCTAAGCTAACACCATGAAGCTCTGTACCTATGAGCAAGTCATCGTATTTTGCCTTTGATTTTCCTATTTGTAAAATAATATAGTTCAAAAGAGAAAAAGAGATAAGTACATTAAGTTACTTTGAAGACTATAAAAGTTAAATGAAATATAATACTATTTATAATATGATTATTCTGTAATAAAATACTATCTATGAAAAACCCTCACATTCACGGTCACTGCATCAAATGCAACTTACAACGACTCCATCGCATTTCAAAAGCTGTAAATGATAATGGGAGCAAACTGCTCACCTTTTCTCTCCCATAAAGCTGCTGGGGGATTTGAACCAAGAGACACGTTAGTGACTTCGTCACTAAAGCTCCTTATACTATATATATTCATTGCCATTGAGTCCGAACCAAATCATAGCCGACCCTCCAGCGGGTTTTCAGAGACTATAAATTGCACAGGAGAGCCTGCCCATCTTTCTCCTACAGAGTAACTAATGGATAAAAACCACTTACCTTTGGATTAGCAATGTAACTACATATCCAGTAGGCTACCAGAGCCTAGTGTATAAAATATATATTATATACTATATATAATATATAGTGAGTTCTGGTGGCCTAGTGGCACGTGGTTTAAAGCCACCAGCTGCTCCACAGGAGAAGGATAGGCAGCCTCCTCCCGTGTGATTACTGCCTCTGAAAGCTCACTGGAAGGTCACTTATGGGCCAGTTCTGACTATACTACACAACAACAACACACATAATATGTATAGTATACTTAATACACACGCACACAAAACATAGCAAGGCATAACTGCTTACCTACAGAAGATGTGCTCACATCCTCCTAAGCACACGGGTTCTCTCAGAATATTGGTGCTGTTTGAGGAAAAAAGATCATAAAAAAATTGAGGTCATTTTCAAATAAACATTTTATACTCAACATATCACATCTCCAAGTCCCAACACTGCCATTTTCCTGTTTCTGAATGCACAGAACAGTAAGGATGGGTTGACCGGAAATGCTGCTATTCTCTGGTTAAATAGTGTATCACAACACAACTGCTGAATTTCAATGGTAATTACCAAGTTCAGTTCAAGTTTAACACTTTTTATAATGTACATTTTCAGACCTGAAGTGCTTGCTGCAGAGGGTCAAGGACTGCAGCCCTCAGTATGGACTGAGGCTTAAATGTCAAGAAGACAAAGATTCTCACCATTGGACCAATTGGCAGCATCAGGATGGATGGTGAAGAGATTGAGATTGTTCACAGCTTTAGTCTGCTTGGCTCCACAATCAACACTCTTGGTATCAGCAGCCAGGAAATTAAAAGATGTATTGTGATGGGAAAGTCTGCTGTTAGGGACCTCTCTAAAGTACTCAAGAGCAATGGTGTCTCTATGGAGACTAAGGTGCATCTGATACAGGCCATGGTCTTTGCAATCACTTGTTATGCATCAGAGAGTTGGACAATGACTAGGGAGGATAGAAGGAGAATTGATGCCTTTGAGCTGTGGTGCTGGAGAAGAGTATTGAGGGTACCATGTACTATTAAGAAAACAAACACATTCATCTTTGAGAGGGTTAAACCGGGCTGCTCCTTGGAGACAAAGATTCTGAGGTTCATCAGAAGTACTCTGGTCGTGTTGTAAGGAGAGACTGGTCCTTGGAGAGGGACATCATGCATGGGAGGGTGGAGGGCAGGTGCAGGAGGGGAAGGCCCTCTGGGAGGTGGATTGATTTGGTGACTGGGGTAATTGGGATGGGTGTGTCAGAGATAGTGAGACTGGCACAGGACAGAGCAGGGTTTAGGGCTATTGTACATAGGGTCACTATGAGTTGCAAGCAACTCGACAGCACATAACAAACAACACATTTTCAGATGATAGGAGAAAGGAGTTAACTTTGTTCAAGTATCTCTAAACTTGGATGGTCAAACCATTGACTTCTCTTTGTCACTTTACTTAAGCTATATTTTCACCTAATGATTCAAGTGCAGATTGTAAAAGTCTCTAAAGAAGTGTCTCAAGTAGAATGGTCTAGAAGTTTATGGTGTAAAGAAAGGCACATAGGAACATGAAGGTAGTTTATAATTTGATAGCATGCAAGGTTAACAGGCATAAACCAGGAGTGGCCGGTCACTAACTCTAAACTAAAGCCCCAGAAACCTACAGTTCCGATAAGGAACCACTAATTTCTAGCTATTTATTGTCAAATAAAAACCTTTTGTTCATAGATGTCAAAAATATGATCACAAAAAAAATATGATCACTTGTTCAGCTGACTCTCTTGTTCTTTAAGCAACTAAAAAACAAGAATCATCAGCTTGTCCGTCTGCAGATGATTAAAACTCATTGAGGAAGGAGAGAAAAATAAAACATCCTCCACTTCTTGGATATAAATACTCTGTTCTAACTAATAGCTGTAAGGTAAAACAGGTGCAGAAACAGTAAGTAAGCAAAGAAGCTTTTATTGTGGCTCTCAGGCTCATGGGCGCTATTCTCTGACCCGGGGGAAGGGAGAGGGAGAGACAGGCTGGCAGGATGGGTCAGAGAAGTTGGCATGTGGCATGAAGAAGTGGCCTTTTAAAAGACTAGGGGAGGATGAGGCCGTCTCTTGTCAGAGGAAGTAGTTGTATAGCTCATGGACTGACTGCAGCTGTCAGCACTAGTGGTGATGCTGTTAAATAGGCAGTCTCTTGGCAGAGGAAGTAGTTGTGGAGCATGCTGATTGGTCCTGGTGGTTGTCAGCAAGACAGGTTGTCACCTGGAGGTGAGTCAGCCCCTCGGGACCTATCAACAGCAACACTATGTGCAACAGAACAAAATAGCATTCAGTTCCTGGCCATCCTGACAAGCGTCAATCTCTTTAAAAGAAAGTCTTCCTCTTTCTTTTTTGCTGGCCTTTTTACTCCACTTGTGTAAACAGTATGTAGAAGAATACGGCATCAGGATTGGCAGAAGCATAGTGTCCTCCTTCACGTGCTCATTCTTCCAGAAAATACATCTAAAGTAGGAACAATAAAGTTAACCCATCCTCGCTTCTAAACAGCACTGTGGCTGCAATCTTCAAAGGAAGGTATGTTTGTTATTCCTACAGTCCCTAATATGCTCATTATTCTTAATCTACTTCATAATTCAAAGGCATCAATTCATTTTGAGTCTTCCGAACTCACTGTCCAGCTTTCATTTACGTGCATGAGGACACTGAAAACATCAAGACTTAGGTCAGGTAGACTTTAAAGTGAGATCTCTGCTTTATAATCCTTTACAAGTCATTTGCAGTTGATCTGCCCAATGCATTACGTTCTTCAGTTTCCTGACTATTGCTTCCATGGGCTCTGATCATGTATTAAAGTAAAACAAAGCCTCTGACAACTTCAATCTTCACTCCATTTATTCTGATTTAGTCTATTGGTCTAGTGGAGTTCTAATAGCCCATTAGTAAGGAGCTGCACTCTCTTTCCAAAGGAACATGGTTTGAACCCACTAGCTGCTCTACAGGGTAAAGATGGGCAATCTCCTCCCATGTCATTAAATTCCTTCTGAAAATTCACTGAAGGATTAGCTATGAGTTTGTTCCAACCCTTTGGTACAACACTGGTCCAGCAGCGAGGATGTGTTTCCTTGTTGTTGAGGTGTCATCCATACTGAAGACTATATGGAGTCTTTGATCTTCTTCAGCAAGTGCTTCAAGCGCTCTTCTCATTCAACAAGGCAAGGTATAGCGCCAGCCTATCAGTTGGTCACTCTAATACTGATTCTATGTTTACCTTTATATAATTCAGATTCTCAGACTATCTGCTAAGCATACAACTGAACTGGTACAGTGACAGGATTCAACCCTGACACCCATTTTTCCTGATTTTAAATCATGGAGTACCCCTTGTTCTGCTCAAGTAACTCTTTCCTGGTGTATGTACAGGTTCCACACAAGCACAATTCCTTGTCTGGATCTGTTGTTTTTCATAAGGTTACCCATCATTTATTACTATCCACACAGTTGAATGTCTTGCAAAGTCAGTAAGACACAAACTCCTTCTGGTCTTCTCAGATTTTAATAAAGATTTATCTGATACTATGTTCTTCAATCTACATGTCCTCTTCTGAATACAACTTAAAATTTCAGAGAGTAATCTATGATCTACTGCTGCATCCAGTTCTTTATTGTCGCCAGTGAAAGCTTACTTATATGTGATAGTTTTGTAGTTTCTGCATTTCATGAGAGCTTTTTTTTTTTTTTTTAAAATGGGTATAAATATAGACCTCCTCCCGTGAGCTCACCAGGAAGCTGTCTTCCAAATTTCTTCATACACATGGGCAAATTATCTCCAACTTTCCATCCGTTTATTGAAATTTCTCAACTGGTAATTCATCAATTCCTGGAGCCTTGCTTTTGCCAATACCCTCAAGTGTATCTTCGACTTTTCCCTTCAATATCATCAGTTATTAATCATATACAAGCTTTGAAAATGACTGAACTGAAGGTCGGTCAACTATTTTTGGCATGGTGATAACCTATTCCTCCACCATTTTCCCTTAGTGATTTCCACGTCATTCAGTATCTTGCCTGTGCTGTTTTTGCTGTTATTAGGCACCATCAAGCAAGGTTGTGTCATCTTTATAACATAGGCTCCTGATGAGTCTTCTTCTAAACCTGATGCCACATTCTTCTTCATAGAGTCCATCTTCTTGAAAAATTTGCTCAGCAAACAGAATAAGTACGGGAAAAAGGGTACAACCTTTATACACACTTTTCTTAATTTTGAGAAGAATGGGAATCCCAGAACATTTAATCGTGCTAATGCAAAATCAGGAGGCGGCCATAAGCCCAAAGGGCCTGACTAAAACAAGCCTGGAAGCAGGAGCGGCATCCACTTCCAAAATGGCTTGCCTCCGGAAACTCTATGCACGGACAGTGCTCAGGCCATTCGTTCATAGGGTCGCTATGAGTCGTCTACCACTCGACGGCACCAAACAACAACAACAATGTGAAACGTATACTTGGACAAAGAGGCAGTCGTCAGAACAGAGCAATGTAACATTGCATGGTTCAAAATTGGGAAGGGAATACGCCAGGGATGTGTCCTATCTCCATACCTTTTCAACCTGTATGCAGAGCAGATTATCCGAGAGGCTGGGCTCTATGAGGAGAAGTGTGGGGTCAGGATTGGTGGAAGATCTATTAACAATCTGCATTATGCAGATGACACAACCCTGCTTGATGAAACTGAGGAAGACCTCATGCACTTGCTGCACAGGGTCAAGGACTGCAGCCTTCAGTATGGACTGAGGCTCAATGTCAAGAAGACAAAGATTCTCCCGACTGGACCAATTGGTAGCATAAGGATGGATGGCGAAGAGATTGAAATTGTTCACAGCTTCAGTTTGCTCAGCTCCACAGTCAACACTCTTGGCACCAGTAGCTAGGAAATCAAAAAACATATTGTGATGGGAGAGTCTGCTGTTAAGGACCTCTCTAAAGTACTCAAGAGCAACGGTGTGTCTCTGGAGACTAAGGTTCGTCTGATACAGACTATGGTCTTTGCAATCACTTGTTACGCATCAGAGAGTTGGACAATGATTAGGGAGGATAGAAGGAGAATTGATGCCTTTGAGCTGTGGTGCTGGAGAAGAGTACTGATGTACCATGGATTGCCAAGAAAACAAACAGATTCATCCTGGAGAGGGTACAACCAGGCTACTCCTTGGAGGCAAGGATTCTGGGGCTTCGTCTGACAGACTTTAGACATGTTGTAAGAAGGGACAGGTCCTTGGAGAGGGACATCATACTTGGGAGGGTGGAGGGACAGCACAAGAGGTGAAAGCCCTCTATGAGGTGGATTGATTCAGTGACTGGGGTAATCGGGATGGGTGTG